TATGCTAATCAAATTAATCCTAATGCGAATTTCTCTCTAAATTGATTTAGCTTATGGAAGTTAATTTGGTTGACCTAGACTTAGTAGAGATGTTCAAAAGTGAACAAACTAATCTCATTTTTTAGATGAGCAAAAGTCTTGGAGACTTTAGGTCAGACCTTAATTGAGCCAAAGTAAGGAAACATGACTCAAAGTCGCCCTGGTTTTGTTGCCTTGTTTGGCACAACAAAATTTGATGTGTGCGTTATGGTTAGTGGCACATTACGTAGTTTTGATTGGCGAGTTTTGGAGTTATGAAATTAGTAAGCCCTCAATAGATCTGTATATGATCTTGACTATTGAGCTGCGCGGATTGAATTTGTAATTTAACTTGTAAATAATGTTATATCATTGGATGAAGTAACATTCAAGAGTCACGTCATCCAAAAAATGCGAGCTTAAATAAATTAGTCATTAAATGTAAGACAAGTAGCCAGTATGAGCAGTGCTTTGCTCTCTACCCAATTATTGGGAGTGGATGGAGCAAAATTTCATGCACTATAATAGTGTGCGTTGAAATATCACGTGAAGTTAAAAGATTAGCGCTTAGAAGCTGCAAAATCTATTAACACTAAGTGAAAAGATTAGTGCTTAGTAGCTGCAAAATCTATTAACACTATGTGAAAAGATTAGCGCTTAGAAGCTGCAAAATCTATTAACACTAAGTGAAAAGATTAGCGCTTAGTGGCTGCAAAATCTATTAGCATTGCCAACTTGTCTAAGTCTGGACACTTACTGTTTCCAAACTTGAGTGTGAGACATGAGGAGGGGCTTCTTTGTATGATTCCTTAGCTAGGCTAACGTTTTTGAATAACGATTACCACTAAGCGCAAACGTTGCGGTATAGTAATGAAAAGGTCAAGGCCGACAAGGTTATTATGACTCTAAGAATTTGACGCATGGCTCGTGAGAGCATTGTGTTGAATTAGACTCTTTAACCTAATTCGCGCTTAAGTTACTTCAGGAGCTGTCATAGTTGATAGCTTATTCTCTCCTTCTTGTGGATAGTAGAATTAATTGCAAGTAACTATGAAGCGAGAAATAGATATGGCAAGAAGAGTATCATCATCTTTCAACTGGATGCAGTAAAGTGTATGGAGAATAAAATTGACTTGAAGGTGTAGGGGATTAATACTTACTAGTTAAATTTGCGACTTAGGCGCACTTGATATCTCCATGACATCCTTTTATGATCTAGTGAATATGAATTAGTCGTGAGTCATGACCTAGTTGGGCTTAAACCTTTAAACCTTGTCTTCGAGAACTCACACATTAAGATGATTGGAATTAGTTTATGACATTGGTCATGAACCAGCAACTTATTATACTTAATCACATTAATGAGATGATGACACGATGGTTTGAGTAGGCCTTCTCGGGCCCACTCGCTTATGACATCCTGCTCTCATGTGAATGTGTAACTTTGTTCACAATGGGTGCGCACAAGTAAGTAGGAAAGCCGTAAAAGGTCATTTGTTTTGGCACATTTAGTCCACTATGATATTTGTGACTAGATATGTGTAAGGGTATGATAGCTAAGCCTCAATTTCGACACATTTATAGATTACGATACGTATCTGAGTCAAGACTATTTGATCTCCCATAAGTCAAAAGTTTTGAGATAATTTTTGACATTGCACATATGAGGTTGAAATCAATTAGATAACAGCTTTCGTGCTTTTAGTTTTGACTAAGGTGGTGAGTATCTATTTGAGTTATTTTAGAAAAAACTCTGTGAAGAGAAATGGATGCTTAGAAAATTGATTATTCCTAATACTCAACAACACAATGGTGTGGTAGAGATAAGGAATTAAGTATTGTTAATTTTAGGTGGATGATGGCGTAAAATGTTTCCCAATTGGGAATTGCACTTTAGTTTGTTGCCTATATCCCTAACTAAATGCCCTCCATATCAAATTTTTACACTCTATTTATGCAATGGGTTAGTGGAGAGCCATCTATGGGCGATCTGTAACCGTTAAGCAGCTTATCTTTATTTTTACTTCTTATAAGGTTGCGAAGTTAAGACCTAGAGTTCTATGGCGCATTATTGTATGCTGTCTTGTAAACACATAGGGTCACAAAGCGCATTATTGTATGCTGTCATGTAAACTCTCCGGGTCATGTACGTATAGGTAAACAGCTTCGTGGGAGTGTAATTAAGTCACATAAAGTTTTTTTAGTAAAGGTGACGTGAATAGAGTTTTTGGAACTCTATAAGATAGAGAATTCTAAGCATAGCGCTCTATGTAGCCTAGTTGAGAATGGAGAAATTTCCAATATCCTAGGGACAGTGGGAGCAATGTGCTTACTAATGGATTACTCCATTAGAGAAGAATACTCTACATTCTTAGTTGCGTGGTAGCGAATGTGAAAATTTTCTATGTCATCACTGGGTGATTAAGAAGGAAACATTCATGATTGCTCCGCAAGATGATAAAGAGCCTAGGATAATGCCAAAGGCTCTAGTCCCCTGTATTTAGAAAGTGGATTAATGTTGCGCAGTTTAAGACAAAGTCTTTGAGGATTAACAATTTCTATAATTTGGTTGACTTTCCATTATGATGCGAAACTGTTCTGAGGTTATGCGCAATTTGGATAATCATCGTTGAGGCATAAGGCTCGCTAGATACCGAAAAGTCGCACCATTGAGAAAAATGTAGACCATGAGAAGACTTCCTCCTGGGGAGTGAGGTTATTTCGACTTAGGCTATGATTGACATAAGTTCGGAACATTGATTTGTGGACATTGTGACCCAACTTTCTCGTTAGAGAATTGGATAAGTAGATCCATAGGGATTTACCTTCTGCTTTTATAGTGAAAAGCAAATGCCCCTTGTAACGCCCCTTCAAAAATGTACCATCAACAAACAACAACGGATGACAAAATTGAAAGCCATACAAACATCCATGAAATGCCACAAACAACCTCCGAAAACACCCACTACTTTTATCCACATCTAATTCAAACACACTTCCCGGATTCGTTCTCATAGCCGTCTCAAGGTACCATCGAAGCTGGTCAAAAGAAGTTGTAAAATCACCAAACAACCCACTTCTTGCCTTATCAACTCCTATCCATGCAACCCGATAAGAAACATCTATACAATATTTATACTTCATTTTTTTTTTAACTTCAATAGGACGAGTCAACGGATTATCATTAATATTATTTTGCACAATATCAGACACAAGTCTAGAATCAACCATTTTGCTACAAGATCTATGAGCCACAATCCCACAAGTATGCACATTATCCAACTTCATAATAAAAAAATACCAGAATTTATCAACATCCTTTCATGCACAAACCATTTACAACCCGTAGACGACTTCATCATACATTCAGCGGTTACTCTTGTTGCATCGTTCTTCAAATAATTCACTGCAAAACCACACTCAACTGCATACTTAGCCAATGCAATGCGGAACCCCGGCACTCCACCTTCAAATTCTTGACCAACACTATGTATACTCCCCTTCCAACTAGCAGACAACAAAACTCTCTTTGGTTCTGGATAAAAACTACGCAACAAACCACCAACATCATCACAATCATTCACAAAAGAACTCTCACAAGTTACAGAATCAATCCTACAAGAATTACCATCATCAACCTCCACAACTCTCTTATCCCCCACAATAACATCAACAACATGACAACCACTACCACCTACCATTGACAGCATATTCCCCAAATCATCATCACATTCAACAATACAATTAGAATATCCAGGAACAGAGAAAAACAAACAAAAGTTACCAACACTCAACTCCTTGAACTTCGCACATATTTTCTCAACAACTTCATCATAACTACATCCGTCACTAATCTTAATAGCAGCACAACAATTACTGTATTTGCACATTAACATGAAACACCGCTCCATACTACAAAATCAGAAACCAACAAACAATTGTTCACAGATTCCAAACTGCAAAATTATGCAGTTACAACATATCAATACCAACAGTGCACAATTTACAATTCCAAATTGCAAAATTATACACTTACAACATATCAGTATCAAAACACCAGAATTCACAATTCCAAAATACAACTTCAAAACACATTACACTATACGACAAACAAAATCAACAAAATCAAAATCAAACAAACAAAATTCGCCAAACACAAACCACATATCACGCAAATTTGCTTATATATATATACATACATATATGTCGACAAAATACAAACCACATACACACACAGACATATATATATATATATACATATATATGTATATCTATGTATCGACAGATACATACATACACATACATATATCTATCACCAGAGAGAGAGAGAGAGAGAGAGAGAGACAACGTACGAAGATATCGCCTGTACACACAGATTCAAATCGCACAACCAGATCCACTTCACAGCACAATGAGATCGACCACACAGCACAATGAGATCGCCACAACGAAGAGAAATCGAGATCGCGGAGACGAAGATTTGATTTCCTTTTTTTCAACGAAGCAAAAATTTGATTTCTCACGTACATATAGATCTCAAAACAAAGGGTAACACAGTCATTTAAAAATACGAAAATAAAAAACGGGACCTCTGGGTATAAAACTAAAAAAACTGTGGACCTATTGAACTATTAAAAATAAATTGGGATTAGAAGGGAAATAGATCCTCTACATAGGACTACATGGTAATTTTTCCAAAGTCAAAAAGCCCTTCCCAAACCAGGCTAAAATAGCCCAGGCTAAAATAGCCAAAAAGCCAAAAAGCCAAAAAGTCAACCCACTTCCCAAACGGAGGCTATATTTTATTTTTATTTATATTTTTTCCATCAAATTCAACCACCAAACACACCCGAATAAAACATAATTTATGGTGATGGATACGTGATATGATTCCCATGCTAATTTATGGTGATAGATACGTGATAAAATATAATTTGCAGCCGCTCATTACTCCCCCAAGCTCCCAAACATCTTGGGAGAGAAGAAGAAGAGAAATTGAATTAATCAATCCAAACCAAAATCCAAAAAAAAAAAAAAAAATTCAAAACCGTAACCCTAATCTCATCATCTCTCACGCCTCTGCATTTCGCCCGAGAAAATGGATGCGATCGGAGTCCTGATGGTGTGTCCGATGTCACCCTACCTCGAGCAAGAGCTCGAATCCCGATTCAAGCTCTTCCGCTTCTGGAACTTCCCTCAGAAGAAGGAGTTTCTCAAAGTCAACTCTTCTTCGATCCGAGCCGTAGTCGGCACCGCCACCGCCGGCGCCGACGCCGATCTCATCGAATCGCTTCCGAGTCTGGAGATCGTCGCGAATTTCAGCGTTGGATTGGATAAGGTTGACTTGGTGAAGTGTAAGGAGAAGGGAATTAGGGTTACCAATACGCCCGACGTGTTGACGGAAGACGTGGCGGACTTGGCGATCGGGCTCATTCTGACGACGCTGAGGAGGGTTTGCGAGTGTGATCGGTATGTGAGGAGTGGGTTGTGGAAGAAAGGGGACTTCAAGTTGACTACAAAGGTTTGGATTTTTGTTTGTGTTTGTTATTTTTTGTCGTGCACTTGTTTGGTTGCTGAGAAAGTGTTGGAAATCAAAGGTTTTACTCTACTGACAGTTATTTTGCTTTGTTGCAGTTTTTGTTTTTTTTTTTTTGTGTGCAAAATCTGAATGGTATGGCAGGTTTGTGAGCATCTCCAATTCTTCACTTCTTTCATCAAAATTTGATGGAAAATGTCAAAACTCATCTCCAATCCTTTCATCAAATTATATCAAATTGAGAACTTAACAATTCCTGCATCAAATTTGAATCTGATAAATTTTTTTTAAAAAATAATAATAATAAAATGAAGCATTGTAGATGGGAATTTGGGATAAGATGGGAATTTTAAAAAGATTTTGATGAAAATTTGATGGAAGGATTGTGTAGTTCATATCAAATTAAGTTTTTTACTCAAATTTGGAGTCAAATTAATAAAAAATTGGTGAAGGCTTGGAGATGCTCTGATAGGAGTCAAGATTTAAGTGTTTCTTATTTTCCTCTAAAATTTCAGCAATCAAACAATTACTGATGCCACTTTTCTCAATTTGATAGGAGTCAATATTTAATTTTCTCCTCTTTTTCCTCTAAAATTTCAGTAACCAAACAATTAATAATGTCATCTTTCTCAAGTTATCAATTTTGTATAAAATTTTCTCGAGTTAATTTTGGTTATGCACTTGTTTGGTTGCTGAGGAAGTCAAAGAAAGAAACGCCTCCACTCAACTGACTGCTATTTTGCTTTGTTTGAAGTTTTTGAGTAAAAATCACTCAAAGAACCCTCCACTTTTTAGCAAACTTATACAAAATTGAGTTTTTACTCAAATTTTTATCCAAACAAGGGAGACTTAAATGTTTACTCAAAATTTTCAAGGCTATTTTGTGTGTTTCAAACTTAACATTATGCCATTAGGGAAAAGCAAGCCCTTTGCTAAAAAAAGAGTTGGGGCTTTTTCGCCTGTTCACCAAGCTTTCGAGCAGCTCTTTCAACTCAAATAAAGTTTTTGCTCAATTTTTAATTAAAATTTTGTGTAAGGGATGGAGATGGCATGATAGGACTAGGAGTCAAGATTTTATTTTCTCTTCTTTTCCTCTAAAATCTCAGCAACTAAACAAGTAATTATGTCATTTTTCTCACACATCAATTTTGCCTGAAAATGCGAACTACAGTAATGATTGACTTCACGTGACTTTAGTTTCCTTGATTTAATTGTGCCTCTGCTAATTTGGTCAGTTTGGTTATGTGTGGATTGAGTTCCAAACACTTAGATATGTTGTGGCTTTATGTTCTATCCATCTTTCCAACTTTGAGCATAGCATACTTCTTGTCAGGGTTGTTTGTCCGTTTGTCTTCCCCTTTGGGAGTTTGGGCATCATTTTTCTGGTTTCCATTTTGTTGTCAACAAAAATCCTGGCATTCAGGTGCTTTGTAGGATTCTCTCTCTGTATCTATTGCATTCCTTGTGGTTGTGTTGTTGCTGGATTTTATTTTATTTTATTTTAGATATTTCTGTTTGAAGTTTGTTGTGATTCTTGGAAATTAGCCTTCTGTTAGCTTTGATGCTTTGGTTACAGGCTATATGTTTATTAGATTGAGGTGAGAAAGAATAAGACAAGTCTTGTTGCGAAGGGCTGTGGAGAATTAAGGGCAAATGCCTTTGTTTCTTTTGCAAATTCTTATCTGGGTTCACTATAACTTCACAGCGGGCCTGTGTTAGTATGAAATATCGTTACTTTAGGACACTTAACATACTATTTTGGTGTCTGCCTTATTGGCTCTGCAACCTTAGAACCAATAGTAATTTTATTAACATATCAGAAAACCTATCAGAAACAATGAAAATCAAACAATTTAGAACTTTTTAGTTATGTTCCTCAAATATCTTGCTTGCTACTAGGAAATGAAGACACGTGACTGTTATGAACAGATGACTGTTTCATCTCAAACGAAATTTTACTTAAATGTTTGAATGATGTCAAATGCTTCTCCTAGCACGTTCATTCTTTCTTTGCTCTACATTGAGAACTTGTCTGCTATATCTATTACCTTTATTTGTTAATGAATATTTCTCATCTTTCTAGTTTCTCTTCATCTTTTTTCCAGTTCAGTGGCAAATCAGTAGGCATTATTGGACTTGGCAGAATTGGGTTAGCAATTGCCAAGAGAGCAGAAGCATTTGGCTGCCCAATCAGTTATTACTCCAGATCACAAAAGCTAGATTCAAAATACAAATATTTCCCAAGCGTCATTGAGTTAGCCTCCAACTGTGCTATTCTGGTTGTTGCGTGTCCTCTAACCGATGAAACTCATCATATCATCAACCGCAAAGTCATTGATGCATTGGGTCCTAAGGGTGTCCTCATCAATATTGGGAGGGGTCCTCATGTTGACGAACCTGAGTTGGTATCTGCTCTGATTGAAGGCCGGTTGGGTGGTGCTGGACTTGATGTGTTTGAACATGAGCCTGAAGTACCCGAACAGCTCTTTGGGCTTGATAATGTGGTCCTCACCCCTCACGTAGGAAGTGGAACTGTGGAAACCAGCAAGGCCATGGCTGATCTTGTGATTGGAAACTTGGAGGCTCACTTTTCAAAGAAACCACTGTTAACTCCAGTGGTTTAATTGTGTTGTAATTGTAGTGAAATGGATGATTGATTGGAGGCCTTACCTTGAAGCCTCGTGCTTATGTCTTTCAGTTTTAGAGATCATTGTTTCTAGAACTGGGCAAATAAACCCTTACCAGATGCAAACCTCTAATTATCCTTTTAAATTATTTCTTAGGTATTTTGGGACTTGATGCACATAGAGGAAAGTCTGGTTTGGGTTAATTGTATCTGTCCAATCTTATGCTTATTGTGGGGAAAGAGGTTTGGAAATACTCTTCAGATCCTGGGAGACGCTAGTGATCCTCAGCTAGTCACCTGAAAAGATACAAACACTCCGGTCGGGGGTGTCAGAATTAGCACTCCGACGGACAAGTCAGTTCAGACACTTAGGATAGCTTATTTGCTAAGTTAAGTGAAGTGATTCTTACATACCTTTCTCAATCCATTGTTCCTGTATTTATACCTGTTCCTTTTGATCCTCGGGGCCAGGGCCTACTTTTTAATCATTGTCCTTTCTCTTATTCGGCTCTAAGGATCTACACTTATTCGGCATATGTATTGTATTCGGCTTCCCATTCTCGTAGGATACAGCCGATTAATATCAGTCTTCTAAGGTACACACCTTCTGATCTTTCCATTTATTCGTCTCCCACAATTGCCCCCCGAACTCCCCATTGACAGTAGTTAATCGACGTGTTTGGTCTTGAATTGGAAAAGTCGAAATAGGTCAGGCGGCTTCGCGTGCCCCAATATAGATGTCAGAACGCGCACACCTTTTTGGTCATCATTACACTTTCCTGCCTCATTCGTGCGTCTCGCATTTATTGCGATTTGAAATTTCAGTCCTTTCGAGTGCACATTTTGTTGAGTACTCGAGACTCTTGGACCGCCAACGAGCAACCCTTCTCTGACTCACGTTTTCTGCAACTCTTCTTCGTCTATCCTTGCCCTGTCTACTAGTAAGTCTTCTTCTCTCTTCTTTGCAACCCTATTTTCTGTTTGTCATTTTGATTTCGGCGGAGCCTTGAATCCCCGCAAAAATGGCTAAACACTTGAAAGACCTCCTTTCTGAGGGTCGTATTTCTGGATTCTGACGACACTTTTCCATTCCCGACGATGTCTACTTATCTCTTGTAACGGACAGTACTCTTGATATGGAGAGGGAGGATCCAAATACGATCGTCTTCCCTCTCTTATCCATAGTGGAGGGCAGAGTCCGTTTTCCCCTACATCCATTGCCTAGGGCCGTTCTTCGCTTTTGGAGTCTGATTCCTTTTCAACCTAACGTAAATTTCTTTCGAATCATCATGGGGGTGATAGAGTTGAACCGACGCCTTAGGATCCACCTTGGCATTCCGGCAATTCGGCACTGCTACGCTTTGGCCAAATCTTCTGATCGGTTGGGGCGATACTTTCTCAGGGCCAAGGACACTGACCATCACTTGATAACCATGCTTGCTAGTTCTGGTAAGAGAATTGACGACGTAATGGTCAATGTCCGAGGTAATTGGGAGTTCGGTGAAGGCGAAGACCGCCTAGACCCTATTCCCAGACGGAAGGGTGATCCAGGTTGCCATGTAATGCCTCGTGTTTGTTGATTTGCCTTTTATTCAGATTTTTTCCTTTAATCACCCCTTGTTCTTTGCAGGTAACAGATTGAAGAAGATTCTTCCCTCAACCGACGACGCAGTCCCAATTAGGGAGCCTCTTCGGCTCAATCTATGCATCAGACCTATGCTCCGAGGGGTGAGCAGGTAGACCAGAGACCTTCAGGGTGCATGTATGCTGTTACCGCGCAGGATCTTGTATCGGCTCCATCTGTTGTGAGAGGGACCTTTTTATTTTGCAACTCGGTTGCTAATGTGTTGATTGATACGGGGGCATCCCATTCCTTTATATCTGCTGCCTTTGCATTTGTTATTGGGTATTGGCTCACCCTATATGGGACATCATTTTTCAGGTTCAGGTGATAGCCGCCTCCGAGATCTTAGCTTAGATGGCTGTGGGAGTTGAAGACTCTTTTGGTTGTTTTGTTGCCTTTAGAAGAGTCAGATGTGGTTGCTCCTTTTATTGTTCGGCCAAAGATCAAAGATACGCCGATCTCTTTTGACGCTTCAGCCATTGAGGATCCAGCCGTGGCATTGAGCCTGGCAGCTTCAATTTCCTTACCGGCTGACACCGCAGCCTTTCGCGCCGTGCCGGATGTTTTGGCCGTAGCCCTATCTGCGCAGTCGGCGCTCCTGGTAAGTGACCATCTCAAGTTCTCTTTAATTTGTTTTCATTAAGGTATCTGACGATCCCAACTTGTTTTGCAGACGGTTGGCAGGATCGCGGACCTAGGCCGCCACCTGCATGATGCCCTTGGCAAGGTTGATCATTTGCAAACGGAGGCGGACGGTCAAAAGAGTAGGGCCGAGTTCGAAGTGATGAGAGTCGCAATGGAGAGTGCGTGAGCTGAAGCAGAGGAGGAAAGGGCTCGCTCAGCTGAACAGCTCCGCTCTGATGCTGAGAGAAGGGCAAATGCGAGCGAAGAATCGCTCAAGTTAGCCAAGGAGGCGCTTGTCGAGGTGAAGGTTCAGTTAGAGGAGCTCAAGGCGGCCAAGGAAAAGCCGATTCTGAGGCTTCTGCGGCATTTGAGGCAGGAAAAAGCACCGCATACACAGAATATGTAGATGAAGTCTCCAAATTCGAGAATCGGGGGTTCAAACATGGGTGGCTCAAAGCCCTTGTTGCCGCTGGAGTTACATTGGCCTTGCCAATTCCCTACGAGCAAGTGGACGTTGAGCCACTCGAATCTGACCCCAAGGATTGATCTGGGACACATTTCAATTTTATTAAGTATTTGTAATTCCAATGTAAGTTTTTGTTCGGTAAACTTAGACTTTTGTTGGTTCAGGGTAGTTTTCATGTATAAATTGGTTACTATTTGCACTCAATTTATTAATGAAAATTTCCTTGTTATTTCACCACCACTTGTACATAGTTTGTGAAGTTATGTTAATGAAGAATGTTTTGCCTGTAATTACTTTGGGTAAAATCATTGTTGTGTTTGAGCTTTCAGAGATTGAATATCTCATGACAATATTGATTTATCACTCATATACCGAGTATTGTGGGCATTCAAGCCGAATATATTGATGAATCTTAAGTATTTTGAATAATCGATTCATGAGCCGTCTGGGGCATTTAAGCCGAATAGATTGATGAATCTGCCCTTGCCCCAGGTGGTGCATGATCATTTGAGCGCCGGACGATTGAGGTTTTTTTCAATTAATGAGATCGCCTCGAGGGCGTTGCCTCTGTAAAGGATAGATGAACAAAGGTACAACCTTTATGAGCTTAGTAAACAGCTGACTCCAGCTCTTGGAGGAAGATTTATCGTGTGAATATTGAACAGACTTTTCTTTAACAGTAGAGGAGAAGTGAGGACGCTAGTGGAGCTGGGCGGAGACATGAATCGAGGTGGTGAACCTTCGCGCACAGGAAGTAGGAGTTCTAAGGATCGAGAGAGGCGTCAGTCTCCTCGACGTCGAAGCAGGTCACCCAGGCGGGACAAGCCGTCGCAGGGCAGATCTCCGCAACTCCGAGTCGAGAGGGGATCTGACGCGAATCTGTGCCCATTAAGCTTTGCAGTATTTGTGGGGAACAGACCCATGACAGAGGTGGACTTGATCGTTCGGGACCCAAATGTAGTGGTCGAGTTTGCTTGAAAATTTTTTCCTCCTGAGGTGTAGCAGTCAAAGGTAGGTCGCCAGGACTATGACGTATTTCGTGAAGGCATTCACGGGGCGGTGAAGGGGCTTTACACTGCCTATGAAATTGGCATGCGGCTGCGCGCTGCCCGTCGAGAATTGGAGAAGAAGGAGGAACGTATTCGAAGTTTGGAGGCTCGCGCGGAGGCGGCTGAGCGTGAGTTAAAGAAGACTAGGGCGGCTCAGGCACAACCCGCCAGGCAGGGAAACCCAATTGTGGAGGAAAAGGGTTACCAGTCGGCTCATCAGTGTCGCACTCGCCGATCATGAGACGGCAAGTATGTTTGCAATGGAGTCTACGAAGGGGAGGGCCTATGAAAAAGGTTTTCAAGAAGGCCAAAAAGTTGGAATCGAAAAGACCAAGGAGAAGCTTGCCGAAGAGGTTTGCCGATGTGAGAACCGTGGATTTAGGCACGGTTGGATCAAGGCATCTCAGGCCGCGGAAGCTCTTCGAGCGTCGGGCATTGATTCGGCATCGCCACTCTACCACAGTAAACATTTTCTATTTTCTGCTTTTGAAGTTGAGAAAAATGAGGATGAGGGTGATGCCGTATAAGAATACGCATTGTAAGGTTGAATCGTAATAAAAACTATGTAATTTATTATTGGATTGAATAGAAACGTTCTATTATAAATATTCCGTCGTAGTTCGTATTCGGTATATACATGTTTTGTTTTATTACATGGATGTTTGAATGAATGTACAAACATTGATCGTATAGTGATACGCCGGTTTATAGGCGAGGTCGGCCCAATCGTGATGGCCGTTTATTCTTGAATGTGGCCATTGTAATTTCAAGAGGCCAAAAGCTAGTCCGTAGAGTGGCTGTGGCAAATTCCAGTTGGCGCGGGGTCTAAATGCTTGTCCGGTTGGATTGATAGCGCTGCCCCTGTCCCAGTCAGTGCATGTGTTCCAAAAAGCCGTTCGGGTACCCAGGTTGTGGTAAATGTCAACCGACGTTCGTCTCTTGGGGTTTTGGCGTTAATGAAATTGCCTCGGGGTCACTGCCAGCATTTAAAAATAAATGGAATGGACTCTTCGTGCCAGTGACCTTATTAATATAACGCCATTTTTTGCATAGGGTTATATAATATTGTGAATGTAAAACAGAGTTTCTTTAATCAGCCAAACTCGAACTTTGGCCGAGCTTGATGCCGTAATGGATCGCAGCGGAGAATTCTCCGGTGTGGGAGGTAGGTTGTTAAAAACGAAACGGGAGGCGCGTCAGCCTCCAAGTCGTCGAAGCAGATCGCCCCGAAAGGAGACACAATGACCGTAAAGAGACACAACGTCCGTTGCCCT